TATTAATTGGTTAATTTTGTTTTTAGTGGAATGGTATATGTATATTTTGCTAGAAATTACAATGGAAATATACATCTTTCCCATAAATTGTCAATATGGGAGAATCTAGAAACATCTACTAATATCCTTGATTATAAAGATTTATATTAAAATTCTTTTTAAAAAACATATATAAAAATAATATTACTTCTTTAACATCAAAAAACACCCAATTCTACAGGTCCTGTAACATCACTTTCTTGGACATCAGATGGACATGCTATTGCTGTAGGTTGGCAGAATGAAGGATTGGCCATATGGAGTGTTTATGGAAAATTATTAATGACTACAATACGAGATGATTGGCCCAATTCAATGTATGAATATTTGTAATTTTTAAAACATTTACTGTATTATTTGGAATAACAATCACAACTTATTTATTTTAGCCCAAATAATCAAGACAAATTTTTAAATGGAGTAAATGATCTTGTAAGTTGTTTATGATTGATTTATTTCTCATTTTTTTATAATTTTGAAGAATATTTATGCCATATATTAAAACTATAATTATTTTTTCAAAAAAAAAAAAAAAACAAAGTTTTGGAGTTCTGGCGATTGTGAACTTTTTATTTTACATCATACAAATAATGAAAATGGTAGAATGACATTTAAAAATTATATTATAAAATTATATATACACTTGTAAATATTAATGAGTTTTCATCAAATTTTTAGAAAGTCAATTATATACTATCCCGTTTGCAAAATCAGCAGTTACAACTATTCATAGCCCAGTTAAGCTTATATAAATTTTTTTCTTTATAATAATCTTTTATTTGCTCAATCATTTATTAAAAAAATTACAATCATCATTATAGGATAATGCCAAGAGAGGTTTTTTACAAATGGATGATCGCTTATTACTTTACCGTGGTGGAGATCAAGAAGATCTTAGTGCTATTAATCCTGATACCATAGTTTGGCAACACATTCCTGTAAATTGAAATAACATTTTATTAATTGAAATATTTTTTTAGTTATGCAATATTAATTTTATTTTTTTCAAATATTTTTTATCATGATAGATACCAATCATGTATTTAAGTGATAATTGGCCTATAAAAGTACTATTATATTATTATAAAGATATTTATTATATTCATTTTTTTAAAAAAAAATTTTAATCTTATTCTTGCTTCGTTCTGAAAAGTATGCATCTATTAATGGAGAAGGAAGGTATATTGCAATTGCAGGAAGACGTGGCTTAGCACATTATAATGTGACATCAGGTCGTTGGAAGCTTTTTGGTAATCAACAACAAGTATGTAGACATAACTTTAATTTACAATAGTTGCGAGGATTTTCTTTATTAATATTAGTTATTATTTTGACAGGAACAAGAATTTGCAGTACGTGGTGGATTATTGTGGTATAAAGATATTTTGGTTGCAGCTTGTAAAAATGTTCAAACTCATACTTATGAGGTAAAGCACACACATATATATATCTGATTCAAGTTACAGTCAGACCTCAGGGATTCAAAAAATTGGAACTATTAGTATATCTTTTTATTTATAAATGATGAGCGTAATAACTTTTTTATTAAGATGTGTTTATATGGAATGTGGATGGATATAAAGAAGTCTGACTGTAATATGAAAAAATAAAATAATTCATTTCTTATTTTATTTATTGATAAATAGATACGGATGTATTCTCGTGAAAAAAATTTGGATAATAACATGCAACAATGTAAATTATAGCGTGCCTCATATCATATCATATCATAGTAAGACACATGATAATTAATT